TTTTTTTTTTTTTTTTATTTTTTTCTAGTTTTTTTTTCCAGTGCCCTTCAGCTGCAGAGTTGAAGCTGGAAGCCTTAACATGAACCCGACTAAAAGACCAGAAACTCAGAGAGAAACTCCAGAGCAGATCCTACAGGAACCCATCCTGTTCTAACTGCAACCAAATGCATTAAAATGCTCTCGGGAGCTTTGCTCAGAACCACATAAAAAGCCTTCATACCTACTGACAGGAATCCATCAAAACGGTAAAGAAAAAGGTTTCATTAGGCCTCACCTTGAAACACGGACCACCAGGACTCTTTTCTGTCATATGATTGAATGGCAGCAAAGTGGCATGAGCCCACAGAGAGTCTAAGAGCAATATGACTAATATTTCAACTTGACAGGCTCAAAACGACCTACATTCTCATGCTGCATCTAATTTTATATTTTAAGAAAAACACAAAAATATGTTAAAAACCAAACTTTAGCCACAATCTTTGCTGTTTTCTAGTTTACATGATACTGGTGTTTGATGTACGGGTAATGTTGCCTCTAGGAGGCGCTAAACAGATTAGCTAAAGAAATAAATATACTCTATCAAAGGTGGTTATTATATTTTCTAACTGTGAAGCTTTAGATTTTTTTACTCTGCTTTAAAACGGTTAAAAAAGTTGATTATTTCAGAGGCAACTACAGATGTTTATTGTGGCCCAAACATGTAATGAAACTGTTCAGATTCCTGCGGCCTGTGTGAAACTCTTACCCCAGTCCTGCCAGATCAGAAACCAGGTTGCCGAGGGCAGCAGCTGCAAAAAATGTGAGAAAGAGAAGCGATCACCACTTCTTGCTGATGACAGGCAAAAAGTATAAGATTTCTACTGGTAATGTCATTAAAAGATGCTAATCAAACTGTGGGTTGAGGAAGATGAAGATAAACAATCCCTCTTTTCAGAGCAAAGCACAGCCTCTGTGGAGGACTCCTAACCTTTATATACATAATCAGATTTAACCCTTATTGTGGGGGGTTATATTAAAATATAGTGAAAATAAGAAACCATTGGGTATTTTTTGTTCTTTTTATTTCAGAAAAACACTAAAATATGTTTAATATATCACATAAATGGTTTAAATCTCATATAATCTCCTGGAAAAATGTAATGAGAGTTTAAGTATTGAAGTGTATATTCATTTCTGTTCATTGAATATTAGTTGGAAAGTAGGAAAATAAAGGCTTTGCATTGCTTGTTGTGATCTCAGCTGTTTCTGACCCTGAATGTCAAGTATTATTAAAGCTGTAACGGCAGAAACACAGAAACCCTCAGGGGGAAAAGACAAAAGATCAGCAGATCAATTGCTACTGCAACAAAATAGTCCAACATCGACTCCAACACGAGTTCTTATGCACTAGGATCAGACCTCTGAGCTGCTGGAGGCGGCAAACAGCATAATCATTACAGATGCACCAAGAAATCCTGCTCTGTTTTATGCTTAATTGGCTCAAACCAGAGAAGATATTTCTACAGGGATTTACTTTCTCAAAAAATAAAAAATAAAAAAAACCATACTAAAAGACCAACAAAAAAAAACCAGCTAAATAATGAAGGAAGGCAAATGCAAATGATTTTCTCTTACCTGCCATGGTTGAAATTCCAAGAACCACACCGATGGATAACTCAATCTGTGTGCCCTGAGAAAACCACAAAACACAGCAGATGAATGGAGGCTGCTTTCATTTGTTTTCTTGATATTCTAACCCAGAGGTCACCAACACTGTGGCTGTGGGCACCAAGCGGCCCTCAAGACCACATGGGGTGCCCTTAGCATCTCCTGAAAACAGCAAATCTCACCAGTGGGCTAAGACTTAAATTTGATTTTATTCTGTTGCTCTTTTTTCCTTAATAATTCATAGAGCATCAAAGCATTTATAGACATTTCAAAATGGCAATAACTAAAAGAAAATGAGAAATGTTTATTATGCATGAAGTTTAGGTGAATGCTGACTCATCCAGTTCATAGTTCTTTTACTTTAATGAAAATGCAAGTAACTTCAAAGCCATTTAAATAATTTACAATAACTCTCTGTAACCAACTAAGTAGCTTGACTTTGGTTTTCTATGACACACTTTACAATTAATAGTATAAACAAGCAAAGTATGTAAGAACACTAAAAATAACAAAATAAAAACCAGGATAACAGCATTATCTGAGATAAATGACCTGTCCTGAATTTCTACTTGATATTCAGACTAAAGTACAAAAATCTTTTATTAACCTTAACCCTTCAACCTTCCCTCTCTAAAGCATAGGTAGGGTTGACCAGATGTGCTTTCTGTTCGAAATTTAGATCTTTATCAAAAATATGTTTTTAAATGTGTAATTTTGATTTGAAATGTTACATCAGCCTTTACCTCTGTCCTTGGTTAAAAGATTCAGTCCCATCAAAGCTTGTTAGTTTAAACCTATGGGGCTAAAATTGTTTCTTTATTATTTGCAAATGTGTGTGGAGAGTTGTGTATCTGTATCTCGATTTGTGTGTGTGCAGTGGGATTTGAAAATCTGTAAATTAAATTGTAAATGTGTGAGGAGATTTGTGTGTCTGTAAAACAATTTGCAAATCTGTAAAACTACTGTGTGTTTAATCCGGTTTGCAAATGTGTAAAAAATCCTCAAACCTGTATTCAGATTTACAAATATGTACTGAGATTTGTAAATATGTAAAAAGAAAAATCCACAAATCTGTATTCAAATCTACAAATATGTATTCAGATTTACAAATCTGTAGTAAGATTTGCAAATGTGTAGATCAATCTGTAGGCACACACAGAGACAATTATCTCTGAAAAATATTTTTGGTTCAAGACCCAGAAATGCAGACAAATCATTGGTTACAAGTCGAGCAGTTTCTAAGTTGGCTCTGGTGATTTTTGCTACACTTCTGCCGTGTGAGATCCACAAATGCGTAAAGGATTTGTATGTGTAGTATCTGGATTTGCTGCCCTGAGCGCAGACTCACAGGCTGCCTCTTCCTGCTGCGGAAGTTCAGCACAACTTTCTGCACTAAACCTCCACCTCAGTCGTAAACCCCATACTTTAAATAACCTTTTAAAAACTTCTTCTATCATAGAAAGGGAAGTTTCTCATCCAACAAGACACACAATAAAAACTAGACACTGGACTTGGTTTCCAAGGTTTGAAGACGTTTCGCTTCCCCTACAGGAAGCTTGGAGGGGAAGCGAAACGTCTTCAAACCTTGGAAACCAAGTGGTTTATCTAGTGGATTGTTTTTAACTTTTACGGAATGACTATGACCTGGATGACAGAGAATCTTTCTCAGTACAATGAATACTAGGAGCCTTCACTCTGAGGCAAAATAAGCAGAACATTTCTGTCCAACTGTCCCCAGGTATAATCACACCCTAATAATTAAACCAAAAACCCGACTAAAGCATCTCCAGGAATCTGTAAAGTCCATGTATTCATTGTTAAACACTTACAGCAACAATCATGATGCAGTTGTCCAAGAATCCGAACCCGACAAAGGGAAGAGCGTTATGCAGCAGCACTGTGAAAAAAAAACACAAACAGAAAATCATCATCAGACCAAAGCTGACAGGAACACACACGTTTTACCAGCATAACAAAGTAGAAGTCTGATTATGGATTAAAATAAAAATCAGTTGATTTTTATTTTAGTCCATACTCAAAAACTCAACAATCCTTTCCCCATCAGAACTAATAGTTGTGCTTTTCGCCTTCTGCTGATCTGGGATCAGTTTAGCATGATATGCATGCTGCTGCTAATATCTCTACCAGGTAAAAACCTGCAGTTTTACCCCTAAGCAGCACTATGATTGGATTTAACATGTTTTTAAAGATAATGATACAAATGGATCACAGAGAGAAAATATAAATCCCTTTTCTCACTTTTAGGGGTTTCCAAAGATTATTGAATAAAGTTTCTTATTATCACCATGGAAGCAGCTCTTATAGAAACAATTGACACGGCAAAGACAAATTACTGATGTGTGAGTAAACAATGAGCTTTGCACCAGTGAATGGATGACATTAATGGATCAGTGGACGGACTCAGTCTTTGTCCTGGAGTACAACATGTTTTCCTTCCAAGCATCTTATGATTCACCACAGGATGGTATGAATCCCTTTCTCTGTGCTATTTCCAGTTATTAAATTAAATGTTTCTCAGCCTTGGCTTTAGGGACAGATATTCTAACATAATTTGGTAATTTTGTCAAGTTATCTAGTCTTTCTTAAACAGCTTATTTAAGCTGAGTGTTGAATAAACTTTGGATTATTAAACAATCCAAATCAGACAGAATATTCCTCTCCTGCTTATCTTCATGTTCAGAGTAGGGCTGCAACTAATGATCATTTTACAAATCGATTAATCTGTTGATTAGCTTTCAGATTAATCGCTTAATAATCGGATAGCAAAAGCTTCCTTAAAGATTTTTACAAAATTAAACCAGGTAAAACTAAAACTTTTCTACTTGTGGAGTTCTGCATAGAACAGATTGACAGACAAAAAAAGTGTTTTATTTTTTTTATTTTTTATCCTAAATGCAAGATGTTTAGATATTTTTTTTCCACAATTTTGGTGTGATTACTGGTCTAAGTGAGTCACTCTGTCAGCTAATGACACGTTTTAGAGTCTCTACACTCCAGTTAACGATTAATCAATTACTAAAATAGTTGAAAATTACTTCAATAATCAATTAATCCGATTAATTGTTTCAGCGCTAATTCAGAGTATAGAGGAAGATAAAAACTAGAAACTTTGAGCTGGATTTGATTGAATTAAATATAAAGATTCAATATATTTCAGATTTCATAGTTTCATTGTAAGCAGAGCAAAAATGTGCTCATTTTATCAACTGCTGTGCTTCTGTAAGAACAAAATGAATCAGTAACACAACAGACTGATGTTCCGCAGTTACTGTGAAATGAGTTTTGAAGATGTCCTGACCCACTTTGAGAAAGATTATTATGGTTCAAGTTTAACAGAGTGAGCTTTGGTCCAGATGCGGTAGCTCTTCTTCTGAAATGGGACTGCTGAAAAAATAACACCAGTCCTTCCCATCGCGTTTGTGGCTCAAAGCTTTATTTCATCACTCTGATCTGGTAGAAAAATTAAGCGTGACTCTTTACACAGACTGGTGTCACAACACAGGCGGTTCTCATCTCAACACACTGGATGAAAGCGGCGGGACAGAAGTGTGAAATCAATCAGGGTGGGACAGCTGTCTGGAAGACATAGAAACTAGAATTTAAGTAAGGTTTATCATCAGTTTGGCGATTAAGGCGATAAGGATTTGTTTGTGACTGCGGCTTCATGTCGGTCTGTGGCTCTTAAAACAACAGGATCTCTATACTTCAGGATATAAAGAAATGGAGTGAAACTAAATGGTTTAAATTAGGGCTGAAACAATTAATAGGATTAATCGTAATGAATCAATTATTGAAATACCTGTCACCTAATTTATAATGGGTTAATCATTAGTTGGAGTATAGAGACTAACACATGCCTTTAGCTGACAGAGCGACCCACTTAGAGCAAATATATCAAAATTGTAAAAAAAAAAAAATATATAAACATTTTACATATACAAATACAAATAAAAGAAACCCCGACATTTTCATCTATCAATCTGTTCTATCCAGCACTCCTCAAGTGGAACCGTTTTAGTTTCCCCTGGTTTAACTTTGTGGAAATATTCTTTAAGTAACCTTTTAATATCTGATCATTAATCGATTAATTGGAAAAATAATCGACAGATTTATCGATTTGCAAAATAATCTTTAGTTGCAGCCCTAGTTTAAATCCATTTCCTGTTTGAAGATCAGGCACTTTCCGTAAATCAGAAAGTCTTGCTTTATTTATTTTGTCTAATTTGTTATTTTTCAATTATAGTCTTCTATATTTATTTTAATGGCTGTTAGGAGGAAACCATCACTATTAACAGAAATAAAAGGGTTAATAACATCAGTCTGTGTTTAGTGAACTCAGTGAAATAAATGCACTTATGAATAATTGACAGATTAATTAATCTGTCTTAGGAAATATTCTGATGTATTTTTTAATCATTTTTCCATTTTAAGACTGAAATGAACCTATTTCTGTCAGCTCCTGACTTTTCCTCTAATGCCACCATTGGGTTGAGCTTTCCTCACTGGATTCTTAGTATTCATCGTTCTTTCCTCCCGTTTACACAAAGCTCTTTGCAGAGCAGCCATCCCCGTTTTCTCTGGACACTCAACATATAATGTCTCACTAAATCCTTTCTGACAGAACAGAAACCCAACATCAATCCTAAAGCATTTCCAGGAAATCCTAGAAGTTGTTACAGTGGCTCACTGAAAAAAAAAAAGTAAAGCTAGGTCATATGAATGAACATAATGTCATTATTATCTGACAGATTGGTTATAGATTCTTAGCTGATGAAGCCGTAATCTGCATTCTCTCATTTCATCTGCTCTGTGATCCAATAGATAGTAAAAACACCAAACAAACTGGACTGTTTAGGTTAGATTGTACGGTAGTTTATTTTTAAGATAAAACCACAAAGCCATAAAATATTCATTAAATATTCAAGCCTAACGAAAGAAAAATAGGAGTAGTATGAATGAGGTTTAAAAACTGTTGCTCCATTTAAATTGCCTGACTCACTGCAGCAGCCTCCATAACCTAAACCTCCTATAACTGTCTAGACACATTAGAACATTTTTATCATTGTCATTTTTTATCTCTTTATATTTTCATAAGCTAATAAAAATATACTTATCTTCTTATTTTGTCAGCTCAGACAGATAAAAGCCGAAGAATTTCATCATTTTTTTGGTGAAGATTCTCAGTCATCCAGGTCATAATCATTTCAAAAAGGTAAAAAAAAAACAAACAATCCGCTCAACTTTTTTTTCAAGTTTGGAGACATTTTGCTTCCCATCCAGGACGTTTTTTCAATTCAAAATGTCAGAATTTGCTTTGAGTTCGATGCTTTATAGTGTGGAACAAAAACAAAGCCTTTTTTTGGTTTAGAAAACATGCAAATTGAACCAGAACGGGTCTGTTCCTTAGAAATGGGGGTTGTTTGGGTTCTTTGTTAGCCTGCAATACTCGATTCATCATGTTTTCATCTATTATCTGAAATCTGTGTCATCATAGTTGTAACACAATCAAGTCTGTTGCAATAACAAAAAACCTAAAGGATAAAAGATGAAAAAAATACCCAGATGAAACAATAAAAATATAAAAGCCAGCTGTGATGAATGTTAATTTCTGCTGGGTTTGATGATTATGCTTTGATGATGGCTGGGTGATCAGGCTCTGTCTTAGCTTCACTAAACCTTCAGCTGAATGCATAAAGGAGCAGGCTGAGTTCAGCAGATGTTCTGTGAGGTTGACATCTGGACTCCTGTGTTTTTCTCAAACAATGAGTTTAGCTTTTTCAGATCCAGGTGATCAGCAGGATGGTTTCTGAGGGGCTTAGTTAGCCCCTCCCACCCAAACCCTGACAGTAACTTATATTATTTGAATTTTCAAAGGAACCATTCATATATTTTAACAGCAGGAATACCAGCCACACTTGGGTGAACTAAGTTTGTATGGATCCCAGTTACACATACATATATAATAAATGAATAAACACATGGTCTGAGCTTTTGGTCAGGATCAAATGACACCAGGGTCACACAATTCTGATCTATTTTCTTCTTCGTTAATAAATAAATAAAACAGTGTTATTCTTTCTGGCGAAAAGTTTATTAGTTCTTTTCCTAAAGAGTGCAACATATTCAAAGTGCAGTCCTTCTTATTATATCTAGATTATATCTGGCTTTATCTATATTTTATATAATACATTTTGCCATTATTTTCCTAACTTCCTCCCAAAAATGTTTTTGTATTGCCATAGGCAATGTAATAGTGGCCCTTTCTCTTTCACACAGTTTGTACACAGCTGCGTTTAAGACATTTTACTTGACTTCATGTAGTCTGTGACATTTAATCACATTTAATTCAAGGATGCAGTAATTTTTTTGCCAAAGCACCAGGGGGGTTTGGGTCACAGACAGACAGATGGACCTTTTCTTTACGCTCATTCTGAACTCATCACATTATGCATGATCTTCTAGGGAGGATGAGATAAACAGACTCCTTACCGTATCTCAACTGGGCTGCAGTGGGTGGTGCAATTTCCAGCTGCCCTGAAAAAGAGATGAAAACATATTAGAAACATGTTCAATATCCCAGCTTCACGTTCAAATGTGGACTGATTGGATACAGAGGAAAGCAAAACGAGACGGATGGACGAAAATTAAAGCAAGATGCCAGAGGAGATGGAGGATAGTCAGAGGAAACAGGAAACAGCTTTCCCTTATTGTCACTTTAAGAGACGAGCAAAGATGTGAGAATAAAAATGTGAAATTCATATTTCTGCTGCCAACGAGGCCTTGGAGACACAACCTGCTATCAGATATGACAAGTGTTCGGGAAAGTGTGTGGTGACAACGGGACACAGGAAAAAAAGAGAAGAAAAAATGAGTAAAAACAAAATTTACTTGCCAAGAGTAAAATAAGCCGAGCCTGTAGTTAATATTTTCATGAAGCTAAAGTTAGGCTTGGTTCAGGAACCTGTGTTTTGGAAGAGAGACTGTTGGATAAACTGAGACTCAGATTTAGCCTGCAGACGGTGAGAAAAAACAAGGAACAGCAGTGAAGCTAGAGACAATTAGAGAAGTTTAAGGCTGAACAAACATGGCAGCATCATTTCCTTTGCGGGTTGCTGGAAATTGGATTCTCTGTCACCAGGTCAGACGAGATGTAGGTCCACATAATGAAGTCTGCAGCATCACTCTCCAGGAGAGTTTATTTAAAGAGAAGAAGCTAAACTAACTCCCAGCGGAGTATTCCTCCACCTCTACTCCATCCAGGGAGTGTGTGAATTCAAACAGACACTCTAGCAGTCACCACATGCTGTCTGTGCTGATATAAGATGGAATGGGAATAGATAGGAGGAAAACTATTACTGCAGAGTATCGACTCTTGGAAGTAAACTGCAGCAGACAGGTGACCAATTACAGGAATTGACAGGAGTTTGGCGAACAGGTCCTCTAGTTTCACTCAGGCGTTCGGTGGCATCAGTCCCTTCAGCCAGCAGAGAACACAACATCTACCCTCTTTGCTCCATCTTCTCCAACTCGTCTCATCTGTCACACTCAGACCTCTCCTGACTCAGATTACAAGCTTCTAATGTTGCTCTCACAGAGACAGAAAACTAAAGGCAATGTTTTGATTGGGTGAACTATACTCATCATCTTTTCTCACATCTGCTGTTGCCTCCAGCTCCGGCAGGCTGTGCAAAATGAAGTATTGCTCATTTCAAAATTCCCTCTGGAGCGTTCTTTCGGCTAATCAACTATTATCTCCGGTCACAGGTTATGGAAAACCCTCGTAGCTTAATGAGCATCAATTATTCCACAACAGGAGAACAACAAATTGACACTGATGAAAGTAATTTCCATAGAGCAGAGATTGGTTTGTATCAGAAACCATCTCCAGCCTGTTATTTCTCATTCAGCAGCCCTTATGTATTAAACAAAAGCTTCCTGAGATCCATCTGACCCATTCACAACTTTCCTCACAGGTGCAGAAATACTTTCAGCTCTGTTCTACCTGGATACCTCCAATTAAGATCACTTTTTTTTTTTTTTTTTTT